TACTACATTTTTATATCTTGAGCAAAATATATGACGTTTATATTCAAATTATTGACTGTCTTACAAGGATTCCAGCAATGCAAATTATAATCTCCTAACTTTAGTCTGAAATATTATATAAAATAAACACCTTAAAGAATAAAGTTATCACCAATCTTTTGTCTGGGAACACAAGGAGGGAGCATGGGAGGGGAACAGGTGGGGGAGGTGAGGTGACAGAGTGTGGTGTTTGTTTATTTATTTGAGATAAGATGTGACAGTTGGCGTTGAAGGCCTACTGTTTATTTATCATTACTTAAGAGTGACTGAGCTCTTCTCATAATTTGCCACCCAAATGACCTGGGTGAATATAACTTACATTGCTGGGATTCTTGTAAGATAGTGATTTATTTGAATACCTGTATAAACAATCTATATTTGCAATAGACATAACAATTTAAGTACCATAATCATTTAGTACATGTACAGTACAGGTTTGTTCCACGGTAAAATCTTTTGAACAACGAAAGAAAGCGAAAGTCATTGTTTTCGTCATGATTATATCCCACTTTCCACTGTAATACGTACGTAATTTCAGCAAAAATATTACATTTCCATATTTATTTCTGAGAATATATTCATTCAGTCACAGTTAAGGTAAAATATACTTGTGATGTAATATTTTAATGAAAATACCCGGTATTTAGAAATACGGTATCGTAGTTTTCTTTTGCTTCAAATTTAATTAGCAAAGATTGATGTTTCAAATGTAATGAACAAAAATTTATGTACAGTATCTATAAATAAACTTTAAAAATGAATACTTTGTTTTACATCGTCCTGTGCATACCATACCATGCATTTGGCTACTTTGGGCTTGCTACGATGACGCATGAGATCTGCCCTGGCAACTGTACCGACACTCACAGCTGGTGGTGCGTTGGTGCGTCGTTTCCATTGTTTATTGGTAGTTAATGGTAAATATTTTTCAACCTAACGAAACTATTACCCGTTTAGAGGTCGACCCCCAATTATTTGGCAAAAAATTTGGTCTTAAAAACTCGAACTACACACAGGTATATAAGGTAAATAAAGACATGGGGGGGGCCAGGGGTTTTTTAGGGGGGGGGGCAGCAAAAGTACACGGATTCTTAACATTCACGGGAATCTCTGTTACCTAACCCCTGAGTATGTTAAGGGCCGACTGTATATCAAGCAACGGTTTCACTGGCGTCGGTTAGTAAGCATAAAATTTTTTTTTCCTAGAATTACATTTCCAAAATCAGGGTGCTTCTTCCACGATACAGCGACTTCCAAGTCGAAAAATACGGTACTGTGTACTTACCTTTAATGTAGCCACCTGAATGCATGCGGGACCTCCATAATATTTTAATTAAGCATGGAGAATACATTAACTGGATGAAGCAGAGGAGTAGACAGGGCTGGGTGGGTCATCAAGTTCGCTTTCTTCAGACAGGCAAACATACTTGCTTGTTGAATGTATTGGATCATCTTTACGGAGTGAAGAGGCAGCAGTGGTGGGGCGTGAGGAGACAGCAGTGGGGGACTTCTTAAAAAATATGTCCAATTTAGACTGCACAGTTTGCCTTTTCTTTTCACTGTAAATTTCCATGCAGCAAGCAAGTGCATCTTGGATCAGTCTGTCAGCTTTTGCACAATGCTCAACATTTTTATCCATTTCGTCAAACATTTCCATCCCCATATTAATAGTAGCAAATGCCTTTGCCATTTGTTTCACTGAAAACTTTTTGGGGGGTGCAGGTTCTTCTTCTACATTTAGACTCTCTTCTTCCTCTGCAAATTTCTGTGCCTCCCAATAAGATCCTCATTACTTAGCTCTTCTGCTACACTTTCCTCCAACTGCTCAACATCTTCATTATCAATTTCTAACTCCAGCTGTTTACCCAACTGCACTATCTTGTTACTAATCTCAGAAATTTTTTCATCTTCATTAAATCCTTTGAAATTGTTCACATATCTTCTCAGGACCTTCCATATTCCATTCATGCACTGACCTGTAACCTCATCCCATGCTGCAGCTATGTTCTTTGTACATTGCAAAATGTTGTAGTCCTTCAAAAACTCTCTGAGCGTTTTCTCAACTTCAGTAGCAGCAACAGCCTAAGCGCAGGTCGTACGTAAATAGTACGCTTTAAAAGCTTCAATAACACCTTGATCCATGGGTTGGATGATAGAGGTAGTGATAGGTGGAATGTAGACTACCTTAACATCAGGGTGCAGGTCGTCCAGGTGTGGTGGGTGTCCCGCAGCATTATCTAAAATTAATAATTCTTGAACGCAACCCCTTGTTGCAGACAATACCCCTTGGCTCGTGGAATGAAACAACTCAGGAACTAATCCTCAAATAGTGCTAGGGTCATCTATGCTTTCTTATTACTGCGATAAAACACTGGCAGTGTGTGCTTGCTGACATTTTTAAAAGCCCTTGGGTTCTCTGAATGATATGTCATGAAGGGTTTTACCTTGAAACCAGCTAAGCTCCTCCCCGACTTACGACCTACTCAACTTACGACCACCCGGACATACGACCGCCTCAGTCGTACCAAAATTTTGTTAAATTACGTATTTTCGAGTCCCAACGTCAGTGATTGCGCTTACAAAATTTTCGTTTGTAATTCACTTTAAAATGGCTGGCAAGCTTAAAAGTGAGAGTTTTGTGGTGCTGAGAAGAAAAAGAGACACCCATTTTAGATTTTCTATGTATTATTTAAGCATTTTTGACTTACGACCTGGATTTGGGTCCCTAACCCCGTCGTAAGTTGGGGAGGAGCTGTACATTCCCCCTCAACAGAAGTGTAATTCGGTCCTTGAATGCCTTGAATCCCGGCATGGTTTTCGCCTCTTTGTGAATGTATGTCCGTTCTGGCATGCGCTTCCAGAATAAGCCAGTTTCATCCACATTAAATATTTGCTCAGGCAAATAATTTCCCTCCATGATGACACGATCTAGCTCCTCCTTAAAAGCTTCAGCAGCACCCGCATCAGCACTTGCTGCCTCTCCACTCACCTTTACACTATGCAAACTGTAACGTTTCTTAAACCTTTGGAACCACCCATGACTTGCTGTGAAGTTTTGGTCGCACTCATCTCCTGCCTGCTGTTTCAGGCTTTCGAAAAGGCTTCTTACCTTAGCCTGTATGGTTAGAAGGCTTAAGGGTACACACTTTTGCAGATGATCTTCCATCCACATCACAAGTAATTTTTCCATCTAATGAAGAGGACCTTGTCTTTTTTCGTTATTATTGTTCCCTTTATAGGTGCTGATCCTTTCACTACCTCACGAATTTGTACCTTGTCTTTCAGAATTGTTGATATCGTCGAGTGAGAGAAACCAAGGTAGCGTGAAATGGTTGATACCGTTTTCCATTTTCATATTGCATTATGATTTCATTTTCATCTCAAAAGTAATTGACTGTCTCTTTTTCTTCTCAGCATCACGAGAAGTCCCACTTTTACGCTTGCCAGTCATTTTAAAGGGAATTACAAACGAAAATTTTGTCAGTACCAGTGCGATCACTAACAACAACGACGACGGCCAAACACCAACTGAGCGGGCTACAGCTTGGATGCTATACACCAAGAGGCGGCCCAGCCCACGCTGTCGTACGGGGTCACATTACGACCAAACGTTTCGGGACTCGAAAATACGTAATGTGAAAAATATTTTATACGACCAAGGAGGTTGTATGTCCGGGTTGTCATAAGTCCAATATGTCGTAAGTCGAAGAGAGAATGTATAGTAAAATACTGTAGATGATTATATATAAATATACTTTTCATTTGTCTAATTAAAAAAGTTACTGAAATTTATTCTTATAATTATTAAAATTTATCACCCTACAATCAAAACTCAAAAGCTCACCCCAAGAATAAAGCAGCAGCATGTCAGCCACTGAGAAATTCTGGTTTTATCACTCAGGTTACTGAATTGTGTAATAAAGTCACATTTTCGAGAAAATTTTTGTTTTCATTTTGTCCAATTAAAACATATTGAAATTCATTATGTGTTAGTAATTTAAATTAATTCAATAAAACTCTATGAACAAACACAACATATCAAAATGATTGGTACCCACATTTAAGGTCGTCAGGTCAGGATAAGATTGTATTTAGGGTCGCAACCAAAAAAATTTGGGAACTACTGAAGTATTATTGAGGATTGTCCTGCCTTTAAAGAAGCTCAGTCATTACTTAAAGTTTATAAGCAATTCTCCTAAACTTAGTAATAACAGTGAGAGCATTGTTGTGTTAGCTGTAGACTCAGGTGTGACTTGGGGCACTGTTTCAAGTCCTTTAACTCCTATGCTTTGGTTTCCGGCATATGATGGATCCTAACAGGGTTATGATTCTCGTTATATGACAGATTATTATTATGCAGTATTGTTTGAATCACCACTTGAGCCTGGCTAGATTATGCTGCCAAGTAGACATTTATCTTTTGTTTCATCACACCTGCGAGCCTCCAGGCCTCCCTCGAAAAACACACACCTTACCACATGTTTCTACCCCACAAGGACAAGTGTAGTTGGGCTCTTGACTACCAACAGACTCATGAAGGCAGTAATAAGTGTAATAAGATAATAAAACAAGTGTACTGTACCTCACGGTGCCTACAAATCAGTGTTGTGTACCTCGTGCTGCCAACCTGACCCCACTGCCTCACACACACACCACTTCTAGCGCATTCTTGACTCTTCCTAACCCTTATGATGCCAACCTGTGTTCGCATTCTTGATTCTTCCTAACCCTTATGATGCCAACCTGTGTTAAGTACAAATATTTCTTTACTGTTTATGATGCATGACCAGTTTGTATAGTTAGATTACCCCCCCCCCCCACCTCTAAATGTACCTGTGTAGGGGGTGAGTATGCCTGGGGGTTAAGCTGGGACCAGAGAAAGGATAACAATCATAAATGTTTAGTGTGGCTTCTTGACCATAAGTACAGTACTGTATATCACCAACACCTACAGACCTTACCTCTCTTGTTATTCTATCAGTCTGTGAGGTGTCTGCAGAATCAGTTCTATAGACAGGACGTATTCCTCCCATCCACAAGGGGAAGTCAATCCCATATCCAAATAAATAAAATAATACGATCACCAGCAAGACCACGAACAATATTGTGGCTGAAAGATGATAAACCACAGGAATGTTACCTGAAACAACAATAATGATTTAGAATCCAACCACAGAATACTACTAAGTATTTTTCACTAATTACTCAAAAGTTATAATAAGTTGAATTATTTTATAGTTCTTGTTCCCGTTTTACAACACATCCATCAGAAGCAGAGTTGAATATTGGAACTAACACAAATTTCTGTAGGGATTTATTTTACTATATGCCATCATAAGGGAAGCCACAAATACAGCTACCCACTAAGTACTGCACAGTTTAAGTAGGCCTAAACGAAGCTTATGCAAAATGATTAACATGTGCTTCAGCCATGTTTATATTTACTCAGCCAATGGTAACCACTTAGGACAGTTAGTTTCAACCCATGAAAAAAAAAGGAAGAAAATAACAAGAAAGGAAATAATACCCACCATAAAAATTGGTTATTAATTTTGCCATCTCTGAACCTAAATGTTGTAATGGCTGAAGGAAGAACTTTGCGAGTGTCTCAGCAATAACCATGGCTGGAGTGATCTCCTCTGTTGGGTCAATCATAATGTCTTCAAAGTATCTGTAAATTCAGCAGCAGTCATCAACATGTGGTCATGTCCAGGTGATTAATTATAACACAGCCAATTGATACCTTACAGTATAGTACAGTGACCCCTCGGTTAACGAACTCAATCCGTTCCAGACGGTCGTTCGTTAACCGAAAAGTTCGTTAACCGAAACCATTCTTTCAATCGGTTTTTGGGTAATTGGTTCCAGCTCACCGAAAATTTCCTAAATTCAACAAAAATGGTAGAAAAGTTCACTTACTTTGAGGTGTGTATGTAGAAGGCTCCTGGATGATGATGATGATGATGATGGGATTTAGAATGGGGTGGAGGAGAAGAAGAAGAGAAGTCACCCCATGGCGCCATTTCACCCATAAAATTTTAGCTCTCTTGGTGTAATTCAAGGTTATTTTCTTTAAATCAACACTGCACTGCATTATATATTGTCAATATGTAGAATATATTTCAAAATGACCAATAATTTGCTTGGAAACACAGAAAAAAAGCGTTTAGTTGAAGAGAGTCTCAAGCAAGATGTTACCTCCAGTGAAAACAGAGAGAGACTAACGATTGCTGTGTTAAGAGGCTGGATGCCGCGCATTAAACTAGTCACTTACCTTCAATTATGTTCAATAATTGTTAAAATTACTAAAATTGAATATTAAACTTTTAAAATTATTGAATAGTATAAACTTCTTGATATTTACTAAAATAGTAAGGAATTTAAGCCCTAGAACCGATTAATGTATTGGCGGACTGATACTAAAGCTGGTTGCCCGGTCAGTGCAAGCGAAAACATGTTGAGGTCGGTTCGTAAGAAATTCGTTAACCGAATTGAAGTTCCTTATGGAAGGCAGTTCGTTAACCGAAATTTCGTTAACCGAGGTGTTCGTTAAACGAGGGGTCACTGTACATAAACAAATATGTGAAATAATCCTCCATAAAACCAAGTAAACAGTACGATGAGACAGTGCTGAGACTCTTTCTATTTTGGGTAATTTTTTACTGATAAAAACTTGAAGGTACAGAAGGGAGCTATACTGTACTGTCTTCACTTTAACCTGAGAGCTTGGTCAACACTCACACAACCATCATTACCTCGAAGGAAGTACAACACTACCACTGAGGCTCACTGTAGTGTAGAGGAGTGTAGTTTACTGCACTGTACTCCACCACACTGTACAGTACTGTACTGTAGTGCAATGTACTGAACTGTAATGTACTGTACTGTACCATACTGCACTGTAGTGTACTGTACTGTACTGTAATGCACTGTACTGTACCATACTGCACTATACTGTAGGGTGGTCATCAAGCAGGCGCCTGTCACTCGTCCCTTATTTTTGTGTTATGGCGTCCCAATGGATTTTTATACATTTGTAGCTAGACATTACATGACAGCATACACTATATCAAAAGTTTAGTCAGTGTACAGAATTGTCTACAAAACATCACTCTCGTGCCTGTAGCTTTCAAACTTACCAGTTCCTATAAGAACTATTTTCCTACACTGTATTTCAATGAGAAAAATCAAATCATATATGAGAGATGACATTGTAAGTTGACATACAAGACTCAGTGAGAGCAATGACAAGGAAGAGATCTTGGCCCCAAGATCCTCTCCTAGGGGTACCATTACCCTGAGTAATGGGCCTCTGAGGAAGCTTTAACCAAAAAAAAAAAAAAAAAAAAAAGTGCTCAGGGTAGATAAGACTCTCGGGATAATGGATAAATAACAAAGCTAACTTGTTCATTTTGTTCCTACCTTTCACATACATCAGGAGATCCAAACACAGTGACCTTAACCCAGTCAAAGATATTTGCTGTGGCGCCTCTAGCTCCAGGCATACATTCTTCAGGGATGTCAGCATATCCTCTCTTCATCATCTGTGACTGACGACGAGACTCAGCCACCTACAATTATATCTCTAGTGTTAACCTGGCCTTTGTGTCAGCTTTTATTATCATTATACAGTAAGATTCATCAAGTTTTATTATTCATATAACATATTTCAATCCTGCTGCCTATTGTCACTAGTGTAGTGGATCAAGGGGACACAGGCACCCTAATGAGGAAATATAAGGGAGAGCGATGAAGTAAAAGTGTTGTAAGTGAGAGGAAATGGGTAAAAGAGTGAGGTACAGTAGTGTGCTGTGTAGTAAATGAGAACAATACAATACAGTAGTAGCGAATATGTACCTTGTGCATGTGTCTCCAGTGCCAGAGGCAACATATAAAGAAAACAATGACCATCATCATAGTGAGGACTCTACCCCATCTCAGTTCTTGCTGGATGTCCCGAATAAATAAATAAACAGCCCATATGGCCAACAGTAGGAACCCTATACACAGGGTGTACAGCCACATCTGCAATAACAACACCGATTAACATTTGTTTACAATCATCCGTCTCTACTCCTGAAATGCAGAAGCTTAACTGTTACAGACACAGATGGTTCATGAGGTTAATGAGGTTCCTGCACCTGATAATAAACTTGGCTGGGATTATTAACAATTAAATGAGAAAAATATAACTGACAGGATATTTATTTTCCTTAACTTTTAAGTGTTTAGTCTTAAATTCTTGGTCTTGGCTGTAATACTGTACAGCAGTGGTCCCCAACCTGTGGAACCATATTATGGACCCGGCAGAGGTTTATCAGAGAATTGTGAAATAAACATGGATTAACTTGAGAGAGAGAGAGAGAGAGAGCCAGCCTTCTCATTAAAGGTATACTATATATATATATATATATATATATATATATATATATATATATATATATATATATATATATATATATATATATATATATATATATATATATATATATATATATATATATATATGTTGCCTGGTTTGTGTAGAATGAAAGGATTTTTTAGCCCTTTTAAAACAATGATCAACAAACAATGAAGGGTACCCAAGTTTTTGTGCAATAGACTGAATGTGTTTCAGTTCTTCATAAATAAATTCGGCGTCACAAATACGCAATCATCTGAAAAACATAGCAGAAAAAAACTGACATTTTAGTAGATTCCAGGTGACTCGATAAAAAATGTGTGAAACTGTCTACCTGTGTAGGCTTTCTATACACCTTAAATTTATAGTTATGATCATTTCTAATGATAAGCATATCAAGAAATGGAAGGGATCCATTTATTTATCTTTCAATTTTGAATATAATACTAGGGACAAGATCATTAAACTTGTCTAAAAATTCCAGTGGGTCACTGTTTTTAAGCCAAAGACAAAGATCATCATCTACTGTACATATCTATACTATGGAGGAATAAAGTCCCGCTTATTGGGTAGTAATCTAGCCTCAAAAAACTCCATATAAATACAGGCTTAAGGAGCAAAAAGACAATTACCCATGCTCATGCCAAATATTTGCTTGTAAAACTTCCCATTTGCTCTAAACACATTATCAGTAACGCACAACTCTATCAATTTGAGAAAAGTATCATGTTCACTAGTCAAATCTAACAGTTGCAATTTATCTTTAAGAAATGAAAGTAGTTCTTTCACTGGTACTTAAGTGAAAAGTGAATTTACATCAAAACTTATTAATTCACATGGCTCATTGTGTTTCTTGAGTTTATCAATTAAATTACTACTGTTGTGTATATGTGAATTAGATATTTGGCCTGTAAGAGGGGATAGCATCCTAACCAACCACTTGGATAATTTGTACGTAACAGAACCCACAGAACTCACGATAGGACGTAATGGATTGCTAAGGTTATGTGTTTTGATCAATCCATACATATACGGTTAAGTGGGATTGATTTGAGAGAGCTGTTTGATGAGATCGGGGTTCTTTTTCAATAACACCTTCATTTTGGAATTAGATAACTTATTAATATTTTCCAGGGGATCTTTCGTAAGCTCACAATACGTGCTTTCATCACTAAGTAATGAATTCATCTTATCATTGTAGTCACTTCCATAGCGTCATCGCCATTGTCGCGGAAAGGACGGACTTAATTTTTTCTGCAAACTCTATGGCACCCTTAATATCACTATGACTTAACTTGTGTTCTTCGGAGAATGACGCACCTTCTTCCTCTTCACTGACATGCTCATCTTCCAACATCTCGTCGGCAGTCACTTCAGGATCTCTGATCACCTCCACGATGTCTTCGTTGGTCTCGGAGAAGCCTTCAGCTGTAATGTTGAGCGCAGCTTCTCTGGCAAGGTCCACTGCTACTGCAACAGTCTGAACTTCAACAGTCACAGGTTGACTCCTCCTCTCAGCTGGTGTGCCATGCAACACATATCTCCATGCGTGACGAATCGTAGCAATAGACAGCTGACCCCATGCCTCCACCAAGAAGTCTACAGCTTGTTTGACGTTAAACTTCTTCCAAAACTGTTTGACGAGTATTTTTTGCTGTTCTAACTGTTGATCCTCATCTTCTTCGCTTCATATCGGGTGGTGGTGTCACCTGTGTTACGTTAGAACTCATCCTTGGTGTTGGTAGAGTCGTTCAGGAGCTTGAACTTCTTTGCAGAGTACGCAGCTTTCACATTGCAGATCAACTCCTGGTCCATGGGCTGGATTAATGACGTAGTGTTGGGAGGAAGGAAGACCACTTTTACGTTGGGGTGACAATCCACAAGTAGGGGCGAGTGTCCAGGTGCGTTGTCAAGGAGCAACAAAATATTGAATGGAACATGCTGTTGCTCGCAGAATTTCTTCACGTCGGGAACAAAACAGTCATCAAACCAGAAGAGGGACAGAGAAGAGGACATCCACGCCTTACGTGCGGTTAGCCAGTGGACATTAAGCTTGTTCATGTCCATGGTTTTTAGGCGTCCAACATAGATAAAAAAAATAAAAATAAAATTCAATTTTTTCAAAAAAATTAAAAAATCTACATTAAAATCTACAATGAAATACAGTACTAAACGTAAAAATAATGAGGAATGGATACAGTACGATAAAAGTAATAAATAATGAGGAATGGATACAGTGTATTTGCAAGCACTTACCTTAAATGTAGTCAGCTGAATGCACAGAGCCCATAATTTTTCTATTTACAGGATACATGGAACTATATTAATTGGAAGAAGCAGAAGAGGAGACAGGGCTGGGTGGGTGTCAATGGCTTTTCTTCAGACAGGTTTATGTACAGGGTAACTTGCTGGTTGAAGGTATTGGATCATCTTGAGGGAGTGAAGAGGCAGCACTGGTGGGCGTGAGGAGCCAGTACTGGGACTTGAAATAGATGTCGAATTTAGACTGCACAGTTGCCTTTTTCTTTCATTATAAATTTCTCTGTAACGAGCAAGTGCATCTTGGATTATTCTGTCAACTGGCATAACGCTCATAATTTTGATCCATGCCATCAAACATTGCATTGCTTTACATTAATATAAATGCCTCTGCCATGTTTCACTGAAAACTTTTTGGGGGGTGCAGGTTCTTCATAGCCTACATTTGTCTCTTCTTCCTCTGCAACTTTCTGGCCATCTAGTTCAATAACATCTCCTCGTTCTGAGCTCTTCTACACTTTCAACCAACTGTCCAACACCTTCAGTATCAATTTCTAACTCCAGCTGTTTACCTAACTCCACTATCTTATTTACTAATATCCAAAAATAACTTCATTTTCATTAAATCCTTTGAAACTGTGCACATATCTTTCAGGATTTTCTTCCATATTCCCATTCATGCAATGTTTTGTAACCTGATCCCCATGCTACACTAATGTTCTTTATACATGACAAAATGGCACTCCTTCAAAAAAACTGTCTGGCGTTTCTCACCTTCAGTAGCAGCAACAGCCTGAGCGAAGGTGCGATGCGTAAATAATACGCTTTAAAAGGCATGTGCGCAACGATCCATGGAGTTGGATGATGGGGTAGTATTAGGTGGAATGTACACTACCTTAACATCAAGGTGCATATCGTCCAGGTGTGGTGGAGTCTGTCGGAGCATTATCAAAATCAGTAAAAATCTTGGAATGGAATCCTTTGTTCGCAGACAATACTCCTTGGCTAGTGGAGATGAAACAAGTCATGAACCAATCCTCAAACAGTACTAGGGTCATCCAGGCTTTCTTGTTACTGCGATGTCCAAACACTGGCAGTGTGTGCTTGCTGACATGTTTAAAAATCCCTGGGGTTCTCTGAATGATAGATCATGAAGGGCTTTGGCTTGAAACCAACATTCCCCCAACAGAAGTGTAATTCTGTCCTTAGATACTGTGAATCGGGCATTTTTTTGCCTCTTACAATGTGGATGTATGTCCGCTCAGGCATGCGTTTCACAATCAGTCTCATCCACATTGAATGTTGCTCAGGCAAATAATTCCCTTCCACAATCACATCATCTGCTCCTCCTTAAAAGCAGCAGCACCAACACTCGGCACTAGCCTCCCTCACCTTAACATTGCTGTGAATTTACTTAGCGTTTTTTTAATCCTATCAAACCACCCATGACTTCCTGTAAGGTTTGATCACATTCATCTCCTACCCTGCTCCTTCAGGCTTTGGAACCAGACTTCTTGCTTTAGCTGTATGGTTAGAACCTTGAAATTTTGCAGCTTCACCTTGTCTGGTCTTCTATCATATCACCAGCCATTTTTCCATATCGTGGATAGGACCTTGTCTTTCCTTTGATATTATAGTTCCTTTATAGGTGTTGTTCCTTTCACTACTTCACGAATACGTTCCTTGTCCTTCGAATAGTGGATATAGTCGGTGTGAAAACCTAGGTCGTGAGATTATTTGCTACTGTTTTTCCATTCTCATACTGTATTATTATCTTCAGTTTCATCTCAAAAGTAATTACTTATCTCCTTTTCCTTGGAGCACCACCAGCACTTTTCGCTTTCCAGTCATTATAGTCAATTAAATACGATAATAACGAAAGTTCACAATAGCGATCAGTATAGAGATCGATAGCCAAAAAAACACAAACAAAGCGCTCCACTGGTGGAAGTGTACCTGAGCGACCGAGGCAGCATACGCTCTCGCCCAGAATGAAACGTTTAAATTATAGAAAATGGTAGCGTCATTTGAAATATTTTAGTCCGCGACTCTGTCATGGTCAGATGTCCCGATGGTCGAGGGTCAGAGCAGCAGGTCAAGTCCATGGACTAAGTCCATGCAGTCGTAAGTCGGGGACTACCTGTATAACCACCAAACCCTGGCTGGGAGGAGGAGGGAGGAGGGGGAAGGGAGGTGACAGCAACATGTTTGACAGTTGGCACTGAAGGTCTAGTAAAGTATTTATTTGTTTATTCATGTCCTTTAGATTGAGTTGTTGTTTTTTGTTTATAAAATGTCACAGAAGTGACCAGGGAGAATAAGATAGTGATTAATTTGAGTATAATCATGCGATAGTTTGCACTAGACAAAAATTTTATTAATCATTTAGTACATTATTTTGAGTATGTATGTACAGTACAGCTTTGCCCTAAGGACAGTGTAGCATGCCCAAAGAAACATTAGGCGCGAATTTTAAATATGATGCGCCAGATTGACTCGCTAAAATAGGAAAGATTCACTTTAAATTAAAACATTGTCCTTAATTGTGGGTGTCGCTTTAAATGAATAATCTTAAATTTAATTGCTTTAAATTGACGTTCTACTGTATTTGCATCACTTATGTTATTTGTATATTATTGGTCAATCAAGTGAACCATTCCCCAATTATGCAACTGTATATTTTCAGCCTTCCGGCTGCCATGCTCTTTCAATAAACCGTTAATTATTATTATTATTATCACACACACACACTTACCTCCACTTTCTTTCCCACTTCAAAAATTCTTGTCATGAACATAACGAAGGACTGAACTATATGTGATGTTTCTTCCAGTGGAGGATCCTCTAACCTGAAGGCTCGCTCTAAGAATTCATCCACCTGAAAATACAATAAAGATAATTAATTACTGAAAGGTTAAAGTACGTTCACCTCCCTTGTCTTTCATTACATTTAAGAACTGTTAGAGTTTTTACAAAATGCAGGAGGCGCGGAGGAACAGAACGAGCTTTACTGAACTGAGTAAATTATTAGGGTATTCCAAAGAAGCAGATGTAGTATAATATAACAGTATGTGGCATAAAGTGGAGCATAACCTCTCATAATTCAACTACTAGGGATTTATACGCACACACCCACACATAAATGGTTGCCCCTCGTGTTCGAGGATAGCCGGCCCTAGGGCTTACCTAGGCAAGAATTTGTTTATGGTGTAGCTGTCGCCAACACAACAACCACACCCTGAGATAATGAGTTACATGACCCGTGTCAAGGAATAATCCGAGAAGACCGGACAACTTGCCAACTGCATTGGCTAACCATTACCCTGGAACACGATTCACAAATCGGTTAACATCTAGGTTCCCAATTACTGTTGGATAGACAGAGGCAAATGGCAAAAGAAACTGCCCATAGTTTTACCCTGCCTGGGGATTGAACTCAAGACCACTTGCTTGTGAGGCAATCATGCTGACCATTACACCACCAGAACAAAGCAGTGTAGGCTCATATAGACATACAAAGCAGTGATGGTAATAACACTACATCATAAAGAGTCTCACCTTGTACACATGTTGCTGGTGTTTCAGGTATTGTTGCAACACCTCCAGATCATCCTTAGTCACCCGTACACTTAAATGTCTGATCAAAGTAAAACTCTCATCCTTCAGAATTTGTTCAGCTTCCTGGTGGGTGACAAAAAGACAGTTAACTGTATCTGCCAGTATGTAAACAATACTGTAGTTGATACATAAAAGAGTGGCAGAGTTTTGGATGTATCTAATGTATTATTTCACCCAGCAGTAAACACCACTGAGTTCAATACAGTGTAATTAATTAACTTATAAAGGAGTTCACATTTGAGGCGTTCTGCATTAGATGGGATTGAAGTGCCTAATTCAAAAAGCCGAGACAAACGCGTTTAAAGTTTTTCAAAGTTCAAACAACCATAACATTTTTGTTTTTTAAGCTAGAGGGTTCATTTTTCTTATCGTGCAGCCAAATCCCTCTCCTAGCTTAAGTGTGAAAACTGGAAGTTAGTACTGTAAATAGTTATTATTTTATCGTGAGTTGAATGAGAATAACTACCCGTGACGTACAGTTGTTTGATCTTCAACCCCCCAAATGATATAATTATAAAAAACCCATCTGCCTATCAATATTTATCTTTCCGCCCCCATTATTAGCCAAAGATTTATAATATTGTTAAGTACTATCCCCCCACCATTAACCTCTCTTTCCCTCCCTAACGTAATTAACAAAGGCGGAGAAAGTTTGCATAATCTTTGGTAAAAACAGTATTATG